AAAACCCACTTACATTCTTAAATGGAGAGGAAAATAATCATTAGGAATTATAGCTTAGTACTATCGATACTCTTTATGCACCCTGTAAAAAAAGGCAGGTTTGGGCATTTCAGAAGATGGTTAGAGAGCTTTTTCCAGGACAAGAAACCCTACTTGCATTTTGAAAAGTTTATTAGGAGCCAGATTTCCATTAGTGGATGAAGCCACAGCTCAACGACATATTTACACATATATAACATTTATATCTGTGTGTGTGTACTGTGTGTACTGTATGTATGTATGTAAGTATGTATGCATGATTATGTATATATATGTGTGTGCGCACACACACACATACACACACACATACCATTTTTCAAAACACTCTTAAGAGAAAATTAAGCAACATCTTAAATGGTTAGATTTGGACAAGTCTCTGTAATTATCACCTATATTTTTTTTTAAAAAGCCCTAGATCTTAAATTTCTACGCCTACAATCCTTGTAAGCTACAGTAACCTAAAGGGGCAATTTTACTGCTACCTTATCAAGCATAAGATTTGTGGCTATTTGATATTTATTTGTGGAAGTTTGACCTACAACCCTCCCAGTCTAAAGTCAGGAGGAATAAAGGATGCTGAGAGGCCAAGCTGGGTGTTGTTAAAAGCTAAATGAAAACACAAGGCAAAAACAAAACCTTAAGGAAACTCAATCTGAAGAACAGCTGCCATATGTATAAACTAAGCAATATACATCTTAGTGCCCCAAAACCTGTTTCCTGTGTCCACTTAAAGCCTTCACTGCTATTCAATTTCAACCCCTTTCCACTTCATGAAAGAACTGAGTAGATAGGAACTATTTTCTATTGCAACAGAAACTAGGAGAGCAATGTTTCTTCTTTATTTTGGAAACTTTTCAATGGTTGAGGTTTATAATAGAAGCACAGACACAAAAGAGATTTTCCCAGTATGGAAGTTAGAAGGGATTCACCTCTATAAATATTAAACAGAAACAGGACTTTATTAATATTTCTGACTTCCAGACGACTTATGAAACAAAGCATGAGCATTTAGAGAAGCAGAGCAGAGAGAAGTGGAAAGAGTAGAGAGAACCTCCACAGAGGTTGAATTGAGTTTAGTCCACTGTGGTTTTTCCCTGGCTAGCTGTCAGCAATGCAGGCCAAACTTCAAAGGTATGTTTCTGTAGAAGGATTTGTAAGGGTCCCACACATATTATTGAACTTTGCCTGCTTATTCCTTTTGCTAAAATCATTTTCCTGGCAGCCCTCAGGGCAGTCTTAAGCAGAGATTGACAGTTGCATTTTGCTGCTATTTTCTAAAGCAAATTTGCATTGCTATATTTCTGCTTTCCACTTTTGTATTTCTCTCGTATCTCTGGAATTCTAACTGCTCAGAAGTAAAGTGTCCCTTTTAATTTTCCCCAGATAAATTTGGGAGAATTTCTTTTTGGCCAGGACTGGCAAAAAAAGGACTTGTACACCAATTATAACACTTCTCCATCTGCCACAGCTTTTCCTTTCTGCCAGAGACTCTCTCTGTAATATCATTTGCCTGCTTCTCCCAAAGGTGCTTTTTTCAAGAGGCAACTGGACTTTCTGGTTTTCTCTTTGAAGACATTTTGCTTCTTGGATGAGAAGTGAGATGTCTTCAAAGAAAAAACAGAAAGTCAAGTTGCCTCTTGAAAAAAGCACCTTTGGGACAACCATGACCTGGGTGACTGAGACTGTCTGCTTCCATGAGAAAATGGCTGGGTTGAGTTTGCCTCTCCAGTTGTTCACCAAATATATCTACCTAAGTTGAGCACTTATCAAGGACATTAGCCTGACAACCAAATATAGATTAGTTTGCTCTAGTGTAGCTACCCATGGTTGTGAAATTTGGATTCCAATCAAACAAACAAGACATGAAGAAAATTGACTTGTTTGAGCTGTGGTAGTGGTGAAGGCTTCTTTGGACAGCAAAGGTGACCAACAAGCAAGTACTAGGGCACATAACATCAGACTTCTCACTAGAAGGCCAAATCACAAAGATGTGTCTCACTTACTTTGGCCCTATTATGCAGAAAAATTCACTAAGGAAAGCAATTATGTTGGGTAGAGTTTGTGGCAAAAGGAAATCCAGCTGCCAAATAACACAGTTGCTGGATGCCTTCAAAGCTGACACCAGCCAGAGAATAGAACAACCCAAAGAAGTAGTGCAAGATCAGAAGACATAGAGAGACTTGGCCCATGGAATCGCCAAGAATCAGATATGACTGAACAAATATCATCATCATCATCAAGTTGGACACTCAGGGCAGATTAGGGATTCTGTGGGCAGATGCCTGCTTTGAAGCACAGCAGGTGGCAGGGATCCTATACTCCATATTGGAACTCCTAGGGAGAGAAAGTATTGGGAATAATTTATAGAAGCAACTTGTAACCTTCCCTGCTGGCTTTCCCATTTAAGCCAGCAGAGAAGGTTGCAAATGGCAGTCATGTGACTATGGGCTGCTGTGACTGCCATAAGAGCAAGTCAATTGCCAAACACCCAAATCACAATCGTACGACTGTAGGGGTGCTGCAACAGCTGGAAGTTCAAGGACTAGTCATACGTGCCACTCATTCAGCACCTTAATAATATTGACTGGTTGCTGAACTAGTGATTGCAAACCAAGAACCACCTGCATATCAGCCTTATCAGGTAGCCCAGGCAGGAAATATGACCTCATGAAGTCATTTTACTTTATTGTAAAAATATATTAACAAAATCTTTTTAAATCTGAAAGTACAATTCTCCACCTTCATAGCCTCCAAAAGTAGGGCGGGGTGTCTTTTCTGAGTATCTGGACCCAGCCATCATCCACCCATAGGCAATGCTGTCCCTTATCTGACAATTTCCTCGGCAGCATCTGTTCATACATACCATTATACTGTATGTTTGGTGAAAGTTTTCAGGGAAGTGACTAAATTTTGAATTTCATAGCTATTCCTTTAAAAACCTCATGGTGTGTTTGCAATTTAAATACTGCAAAAAAAAAATTTATTTTATTATCTTCAATTATTGAGCTCAATTCCTATCTTTCACCCCTTTTATTAATTTATTCATTCATTCACACCACCACTACCACCACACACACACACATGTATGTACTATTTATGTATGTATCACCTGGATACCTTGCCTGTACAATATTTTATGCTGCTGACCTTAGGCTGTAATAAATAATAATTACAAAAAATATTTTTTTCTTTTCTTACAGTTTAACAATCCATGTGCAATGGGTAAATCCCAGTGCAACACATACACACACTTCGGAGGCAATTGGGTAATCACATTTTTTCTCCCACAAGAAGCGGGGGAAAACACACATTGAAAATTGCAGCAAATAAAATGTGTATGTCAATTTTTTAAATTATTTTAATTGTCCTAAGTAATCTGAAAGACAAGTAGATGATGAATTTTGAAGCACAGCTAACCAAGAAATATAGAATTTGGAGCATTCTGTCCATAAACAATAAATAATATATGATAGTTTTGAAGATAGCCTCCACTTGCTTTTTTTCTGTACTTGATTTCAAAATAATAAATATTCCTACATTATTATGATTCTCTTTCAAGCACTAAATTAAAAATCTTATTGTTTGGCTAAAAAAGTCTTAGTATCATGATTGTTTTAGAATGGTTTCGTCTTGTTGAGCTATTAAAGAGTATGGTTTTTAAAAAATATTTTATAAAGGCTGCTCTGAGAATTTCATTATAGGGTAATAAATAACAAAGAAATAACAAAATAATGCTTGAAAGAAACTAAAACCTACAATGGTTTTACATACAAATATGCTTGGGTTGGTCTCAAATATGCCATTGTGCATTTATTGATAAATGTATCTAATTCAGAGCTTTTGTTCAAGGCAGATTTTTATTTTGCCCAGACAGGGGGTTCAAAAACTTTCCCCTCACAATCTATTTTCTCATTTTTCCTTCACTATCCTTCATACACAAAATAAACCAGGTAGCACAATACAGGTTGGCCATAATGAACGCGTATTCAGACAAGGTGACTCCTGCTTTTCAGTTGAGACATCACTGATAAGGAGATAGGCACAGGGATGGGATTCAGCTGGTTTGGACCAGTTCGGGCGAACCGAATACTAATTTTACATCTGGTTCGCCAAACCAGTAGTTGCAAGGACTGGCTGGTCCCACCCACCCAACCCCTCCCAGGAGTCTCCACGCGGTCCGTTTTGGATGCTAGGTAAGTGCAGGGCCTGCATGGAGGCTCTGGGAGGGCAAAAAATGGGCCTCCCAGAAGTTCTGGAAGTCCAGCCATTTCCAGCCTCCAGAGTCTGGGGAAGGCTGTTTTGGCCCTCCCAGAGACTCAAGGAAAGCCTCTGGAGCCTGGGGAGGGCAAAAATACCTGCCCGCTGGTGCAGGAGGCTGAGTAGGCCACACCCACCATGGCCACGGCCACTATCAACCAGGCAAAGAACTGTTTCTAAAATTTTTGAATCCTACCCCTGGACAAGGGTTACTAATTTATTATTTTATCAGGAAACCCAAATTAATGTGAATTATATACAACACGTATTAGATATAATTCCTTGCAATAACTATTGTAATATATATGATGATGAGCTTTTGTTCTCAGGACATTAATCCTTTCAAGAAGACATCAGTGATGCTTAAGTGACAGCAAAACTACCATGATTCAGTTCCCATTATATCACAAATGGCATGGTGATTTGCTATTCATTTCCAATGATTTTACCTGCAAAATGAAAAATAGAGGGTCTGTCCAATACTAATAAAAGAATCCCATGGACTCTGCTGGGAACCAATTTACACAGAAATCCATCCCTATTCATTGTCTGCCATGTGCTATGTTCCTTCACCCCATTACTCTCTGACTTGGCTAAATAAGATGTGAGGGAAGTGAGCACAAAAGGAACCTTTCTTTTTTCCACACCAATATGTACCAAAGGTTTTCCAAGAACACGTCAAGGCTTTTGTTTTGAACTTTTACCTTGGTACGCTAGCCAAGTAAGTCACAAGTTTCCGAAGATCTTCCTGCCTTATTCTGTCATGATTGCTGCGTGCTGGAAATGTCAGGATGGGACCTCCTCGTTTATCACGGCCGCCTGTAACAAAACAAACAATTGCTTGAAAATTAATCAGGAAACACATTACATCATGTCAGCCAAAGGAAGACGGAAATGACCAAACTGCAGCTTCTTTGTAAAAGTCTCCTTTCAGTTTTTACCACTTGAGTGATTAGGGCAGTCCCCTGACTACATTGTATACTATATCACTTCAACTGGAAGTGTTAAAGGTGTTTTTTTATGTTTTAAAAAAAGTCAGCAATAAAAATGATGATTATCATTGTATTTTCAAACATACGGATATTTCAAAAGTTTAGGAGTGCCCACTAACAGCATTGGTTACCTCCTTACACAAATTAGATCCCACAGATTAGGCCTCCTCCGAATACCATCTGCTAGCCAATGTCGACTGTCGACCCCTCGGGGGAGGGCCTTCTCTGTGGATGCTCCGGCCCTCTGGAACGATCTCCCCATGGAGATCCGGACCCTCACCACCCTTCCGGCTTTCCGCAAAGCTGTCAAGACCTGGCTGTTCTGGCAGGCTTGGGGCTGAT